AGGCTTTAGGTCCTCTGCTCGGTGCGGACCTTTGCTAGTCTTCACTTGCACTCTTCAATAGCGTAACTAATCCAAGCTGTTCATTCACTGAACAATCGCAAAGAAGCTAGGGCTGTCATGGCGATCAGGAACGATTACTGGAAACAAATTTGAAAAGAGATCGAAAGGAGCTTAAAATGTTCTTTGGGACAAAGGCGCTTCGAAGTGTTGAGCAATAAAGAGGATGCAATATATGATTTGCACATTTGAGAAGGCAAGCAACGTAAATGAAGAGTGAAGCAAGGCAGTAATAAGAATGTAGAAATTTCACTATGTTCTTGAAGTCTAACCATAAGCTTTTTTGGACCTTAACCAATCAATCCATTGCATATATTAATTTACGTTCTATTCAATTGCATGCTTACACTATGTACGGTCAAAAACAATGTGATGTTTAGAGGTACAACTGCTACAACATCGATAATCACATGCCAGATTTCTACAAAAAGGTTTACGAAAATAATACAGAGCCTGCGGACAATGACATATACCATGCTGGAGTTTTTCTTGGTATGAAGAACTTGTCTATGCTGCGGCTCCGCATTGGTTGTTGCCCAGTCATGAATGATTTTAGGTTGCACGTTTGGAGTAATTGCTTTGTACGTATGGGCTGTGGGGATCTTGGCAGCTGGTCAATCCTCAACGATGACAGGTACATATGCTGGACAATTTGCTATGGAGGTAAGCTTACACATAATATTGGCGGTTTTGATGATCTGCTTCATAGGGCTTCATTCAAATAAGACTACCTCAATGGAAACGAGTTCTCTTAACCAGGTAAAGAACTTTTTCTGCAGATCTGGACCGATAGTATGCTTCTGAATAAAATTTGTTTCAGGTCCATCGCTATGGGTCCAACGCTTTTGGTTGCCATTTTCAGTGGCGGAATCAACAATATTACGGGTTTTAACGACTTTCTTAATTGCGTGCAGGTAGAAAACTCTTTGGCTTGCCATCCTCAATCCTGATAGTGTATTTTTGAGATGGTGCAACTACCCTTTGCAATATTTCCAGTACTGACATTTGTGTCAGATGAGCGGGTCATGTTCAATTTCAGGACATCAAGGTTAGTAAAAACTTGCATTGCGTTGAATCTTTCTCCTAGGTGAGAAGTGTCCATCTAATAATCAGGATAGTTTCCTAGATGGGGACTATAAGGGCGGGGTAAGGGGAAGGGAGAATTACTACTCCTTTTGTAAACATCTATTTCATACTAAAACGGTTATTTTGAGATGTTTTCGTGTTTCTATCCACGTGGATATATCGCTCTTGTACTTTTGCGTCACCAGAGAATTTTCTATTACAGGGGTCAGAAGGCATTCGCACTTACTGTTTCGCTAATAGTGCTAGGAATAAACTTCTATTTTCTCTTTGCTTGGGTGGAAGAACATCTTGGTCTCACTGCACTTACAATCACTCTAACTTCGTTATTGGCCATAGTATACATCATTTTTATACTATTTTTGGTGAGTTTTTGTTTATCGGAAGTAAATCACACTAAATGATCACACATGTTGAGGTCTACTATTGTTTGGTGGCGATGAGCATCATTCCGCGAATTGATTGGGTAAGTCTTTTTGATGTTTCTCCCAGCTACATAAAGAAGTAAACTGCATCGTCAACAGTATTTGCCTGTGTAGACTATCACTGCTTCGTGAGCGTAAGTAGTAATGTTAGCTCCAGTCATATCTTTTTACTTCAGAAATACCTACCTGAGCCTCAATACGACCACTTTGACGCTCCTTGGCAGAAGTCTGAATCTTCACCAGAGCGCTATGGTTCTTTTGATAATACCATAGTCCCTTCGAATGCTACGGAAGCAGATGACTTATCTGCTGGGACATCGTATTCAAGGAGTGGTCCCAGTCGAAGGAACACACATGGTGAAGACCGATGAGCTTTTTGATCTAAGCATTCGAGAAAGAATGCCGACCATCTATGGAAAAGCATATTATGCATTCGATACGATTGTAAATTATACATGTTGTACATTTCTCATTTTTCGAACGTTGTTATAGAATAATATTCTCTAATAACTGTTATGGATCTGCAGTGCTAACCAATAAATAGCACCCAAAATCATATAATGTTCTTCAGCCGGTTCTTTTCAGATATTTGAAACTATGACTACTTAGAAACAAACAACGATTACGACTACTTAGACACAAACAAATTTTAGTATGCGCGAAATGAATGATTGTAGAACCATGTTCAGCATACAGATGTGAAATAAAGGTTGAGTGCCAAAGAAAGAATGATAAATGTCGATTTCTTCTAAATGCGTAATAAGAGCTCCAAAAATGTACCCCATATTCTAATAATATTGCATACAGTGAGTGGGCAGAACGGTCTTTTTCAACAAGTGCACATAGCCCTGCCAACATACATGTAATTTAGTGCATTTCAATGTACTTTCTAGTGGGAGAGCAGGGCTCTGAAATGAATAAGATGACAAGAAATGCTCAAAGAAAGAAATACTTGAGTTTGAAATACAGAGCAAATACGATGTAACTAATATGTCTTCTAAGAATTGCCAAGGGATTATGATGAT